CCTGGGCCCGGCCTACACACCCGCGGACCGGGAGAGCCGGTCGGCCAGGTCCGGGCGTCCGCCGCCGCAGACTGGGGGTGGGAACACGCGCGGGGCTGCACGGCAGGGTCACGCCGCACCGGCCAGCCCGACCCCGCTGTCCCCGAAGGGTCCCGAGGATCACCTGGAGCAGGGACGGTTCTCCTCCCGCCCGCACGTGGCGTCCGGGCCGCCGGCAGTTCCCACATGCCCGGGCAAGCCCCGTTCCGGCTGCCCGCTTATTGGTTCGCTGAACGGCAGCACCCGCCTAAGGTCTCTTCTGATTGGCTTTCCGGGAAAACTTGGCTCTCTGCGGGTTGGCGCGCGACAGCAGAAGGGGCGGGGACTCCTGAAGGGGCGTGGCTTGCACCTCGGGCGGGCCGAGCCCGCGGGAAATTTTAAAGCCTGAGCGGGGTCGGGCCTCTCTGTCCTCTGGCGCCGTGCACCCCGCCCCGGAGTCGGGACGGGGCTCCTGGGAGCTCTGTGCCACCGAAGGCGGAATGGCTTCCAAGCTCACAGCCCTGCTTCCTCGCTTGTCGCAGGCATTCAGTGAAGTCGCAGTAGATGGGCACGAAAAGATTTTTTCAAAGTCAGAGTTGCTCTTTTGGCGCTATTTTTTCTTTCAGTTTATCCTTTTGCAATACTTTACTGCTAAGTATTAAGTTCCTCCTAGGGACTGAGCACTGAGATACACAGAATAGGCCCAGTGCCTGACTAGTTGCTCAGACCTGGAGCTGTAACAGCGTGGTGAACAGATACACCCAGTGCAACCCGAATAATAATGAGAACAGTAGTAAACAGTTCACATTCATTGTGAGCACTGTGTGCCAGGCAGTGTATGAGTATGTACTATTGTTACTTCTGGTTTACAGCTAAGGAAATTGACACTTAAAGAAATTAAGGAGAGCCCTGGCCCCTGTGGCTCAGTTGGTTGGACATGTCCCATGTACTGAAAAGTTGCCAGTTTCATTCCCGGTCAGAGCACATGCCCTGGTTGTGGGCTCAATGCCCAGTAGAAGGCATGCAGGAGGCAGCAGCAGTGTTTCTCCCTCTCCCCCTGTCTCTAAAATAATCAGTTAAAATATTTTAAAAAAAAAGAAAAAAAAGAAATTAAGGAGAAACAGCTAGGGCCCAAGCAAAGACCATTAAGGATACAGCCTGACTCCTAGCTGCATTTTGCAAGCAGAAATGTCATTGCAAAAGACAAGGGACACTTGTGTAAAGGAACCTGCTATTTCTGACCAGAGTTTAGACACAAGGGAAGCAGGACAAAGGATAAGGCCTCTAGAGAAGTAATTCTTTCTACTCAGACTCTGAAGGCTTTGGGGAGCTGGGAAGAGTTTAAGCCAGAGCTGGTTCACCAGTAGATTTGCAATTTTAGAAACTCACTCTGGCTGCAGTAGAGAGAGGAACAGATAAGGCCTGGAGAAAAGGGGGTTGGAGGGATTATGGACATCCAAGCAAGATAAGATCCTGGTGGGCTGAGTGGTAGAAGCGACAAAGAACTAGGGTCAGAGTCCAGAGCTCCTTAGGCAACATTGATAAGATAGAGGGTGACAGGAAAGGGAGGTTGAGGACACTTTGTGGGAGGTGACTTTGGGGCATGGAGGGTTTTAAGGAAGTCAGTATCCAGATCCCCAACTTCCATGGGACGACTTGAGAACGTTCCTGGAGCCCTTGGGGTTCAGCTTCCCTCTCCCCCTTTTATAACCAACTGTCTCCCACTTTCCAAAGGAAAGTTGCACACACAGTCATTCTACATCTCGCCCTATTGCATTACCCTGGGAAATAAAAAGAAGTCTCAGGGAGAAAAAAACAGTAAGACAATTCTAAGCATGGGTTATTACTGAGGATCCTTCTGTAAGAACCCTTCTACATGACAGGTGGCTTCTGATTCTTAGCTTTCACTACGATCCAAGAAGGACTTAATCATGTTGTCAGCTAATAGATCATTAAAAGTACTTTTTTGAGGATATGACCTGGCTGGATAGCTCAGTTGGTTAGAGCTTCATCCTGATGCAACAAGATTGTGGGTTCAATCCCCAGTCAGGACACATACAAGAATCAACCAATGAATATATAAGTAAGTGGAGCAACAAATCAATGTTTTTCTCTCCCTCTCTCCTTCCCTCTAGAAAAAAATATATGTATATCCCATGGCCAGCCCTTCTTTCTGAAACTTGGGGTCTGCTTCCATGTTCATTCATGCTGTTGGTGGAATTCCTTACAGTTGTAGGACTGTCGGTTTGGGGTCCATCTCAGTCCTCCTTATGCCTCAAATCCTTTTCATGCACTTTAAAAATGGATATAATGTTGGTATCAGATTGCTGTGGTATTCAGACTTCATTGCATTCATTTAAGGACACTTTTTAAAACAATGTCAATATTTACATTATATCCTTTGTAGGTACTTAGACTTAGACAAAAATATTATCAAGGAAAAAAGTTAAAGCTCCCCAGGTAGACAATAGGGATGGCCCAATATTGGCATCATGACTATGGATGGCAGTATCCCCAGTCCCACCTTTAGGGACTTCACCCTTTTGTTCCTGGGGTGAAAATACCTTCTGCTTCCACAAAGACTGGGGCTCCTATATAATGAACCTCTTTGAGCTGGGACTTGGTGGGAGAAAGCCCATACATACCCAAGCCTTGCCTCTATGAACCCCACCCTTTCCTCCTCCACCTTATCAACCCAGAAGCATTCGAGATGTAGGACTCGATCTGTTTTGTGCTTACAAACCCTTATTGCCACAGGCAGAGTGCCATTCTGCCTGCCTCATGTATCTGTTTTGAGGACTGTTGGGGATGCTACTGAACCAGGTGCAGACGTGAAAGGGAGGGTGTCGATCTGGTCATTTTTTAGAGCAGTGGTTCTCTGCGTGTAGTCCTAGATCAGCAGCCTGGGCATCACCTGGGAATTGGTTGGACCTACTGACTCAGAAATTCAAGGGATGAGACCCAGAAATCTGACCTAGCTGATTGACAGCTTCCTGACGCATGCTCAAGTTTGAGATACCTTGCTGAGAGTATGAAGCTGACAAAACTCTGGGAGCCAAATGCAAATCATTCATTTTATTCAGTCAGATTCCCTCTCTATCCACACTCTTGAACCAACACTAACTTTGGTCCTACCTGAATACAGCCTGTCCCCAAGATACTTATGGTACCTTTATACTTCCCTCAACTGCTGAGAATTTCCAGGGCCCTTAGACCCAGGTTAAATCTCACGTGACCAATATTTTAATGGAAAAATTGGAGGGATTTGACCCAGGGGAACTTCGTTTTCTATTCATATTTGTTTCGTTCTAGACTAGTTTCTTGACACATAAAATGAATCCTTAAATCTGTGGCTCAGTCTCTACTGAACATTGGAATCGCCTGAGGAGCTTAAAAGAATACTGACTCTTGAGTCACACCCCAAGATTCTGATTTAACTGGCCTGAGGTGGGGCCTGAGCCTAGAGATTGTTGAAGCTCATTAGGCGATCCAGTTTGCTGGCAAGGTCAGGAAACGTGGCTAAAGCGCAGTTACCTAGAGAGTCCACTAGAGAGGGCTGCTTCCCTGCTCATCCAGTAACGGGGAACCATTGCTGCTGGCTGTATAGACCGGACCCACGCAGTTGAGGTAAAGGGGTTCCCAGATGCCCTGACCTCTGGCTTACCAACTCTCTTCTGTTCTGAGAATGTCTGTTTTGCTGAGTGACCTAGAGATAAGCGACACCACGTCCCTAAGCCTTGATTTCTCCATTTTAAAAATTGTTAGGAGGCGGAGGCTTCCCTACATTCATTCTTTGAATATACATTGAATCTTGTGAAATGGACAAGATGCTGATCTGGGTAGGGAAAGGATGAACTTTCAAATGGGAGAAAACTCCGCCATGACAGGGGAGACTAGTAGAGGGATGGTGGTTTTCATTCATTCCTACGTCATGGCGCCTGGGTCATGGGGAGAAAATTCATGAAAGAGGAGGCAGAGGACTATGGAATATTTAAGTATACCATTACATATTATGACTCTTCTCTTAATTACCATAACAATTAACATGATAGATGTGACGAGTTCCATTTTACAAGTGAGGAATCTGAGGCTCAAAGATGTTAAGTGAATGGCTTAAAATCACACAGCCTGTAAGTGGTAGAGCCAGGACTGGAACTGGGGTGTGTCTGACTTCAAAGCCAGGACTCCCTCTCCCCCAAATTGGCCCCCAGGAAGTGCCCAGCTCTCTGTTTTATACCCTGGTACATACCAACAGGGGTTCTCTTATCCATGTCTCAAATCAGGGGTGCACCCCAATTTCCTTCCCAGATGTTTCACTGAGGCAGGATCTCTGCCCGTTTTGTATCCACAGCAGCCCTAGATGCTGAGGGCTGCCTGGGAGAGACATCCCTTCTCTCCTGTTCCCCTCTGCTCGTCCAGGCCCCTCTTCTTCAGTGAAGAGCAGACACCCACTGAGTCACACCAATTTGCAGCCTTCTCAAGTGTGAATGACATTTCTAATAGGACCAGCTGCTTACTGGCTTCAGGCAGGGTTGGGAGTAAAGAGGAAGTTTAAGAGGCAGGAAATAGGATAGGACAGCCTGTTTGGAGGAGATGGAGGAGCCACTGAGGTAGTGACGGCAGCTGCCTCGGGTAGAAGTGAAGGGCTGATTTGATTCAGAGAGGTTAAGTGCCTGGCCACAGGTCACACAGTTAGCAAGTGGTAGAGGTGGCCGAGCTCAGCTCATGGCTGCATTTTTAGTGTTCCCGAAAAGGATATGACTCTCAACCCAATTTTGGTTTATAAATGCATTTGTGTTCTTTTTTTCCTTTTGCACCTTTTAACATTTTTATTTTATGGATTGATCAATGGATGCTTTAGTGTTCTAAAGGAAAGACTTTCCCAGACTTCTTTGCCTCTGGATGCTGCTGACCAACTCTTCCCTTCTCTGGCCTGAGGGCCCCGGGGGAGCCTTGTGCCTGCGGGTGGAGGAGAAACTATGCTTGGGAAGGAATGAAGGGGACATTTGAGTTTGTTGCTTGAAAAGTTTATTCCCATCGAGGGCCTCGTCATTGGGACTTGACCACCTTAGGGCAAGGTGACCCCGAGCGGGAGGCCTGCGGAGAGGCCGGGATGGTGTTTGCAATCACCGATGCTGCTACAGTGGGAGCGGCCCTGAGCACAGTTAGGGGACTAGGCTTCCCCACCTCAGTTTTTCCCCTGG